ATATCCAGACTTTGTTAGCTGCGAATTGACCCGTACGCACTTTCCCACTTACGTGGACTTCTGCGCACGGAACCATCCTTCAATACAATACATTTTAATCAATTTGAACTGTAAATATAAGACATATATATATATCTCACCTCCGGTGACATCTATCCGACCAATTTTTAAATTATGTATTTATTTTTACGCGTCTAATAGATATTTTGAATCTGAATGGAATTGAACTGTAAATATGGCTTTAATAAATATCTCGAATCTAGTGCTAGCTATCGGATTTTTTTACTTATGCACAATATACTCCAATAACGGTTGCCATTTCCAATTTATTTTTCGGACCAAAAAATGGACCAAATGGTAAAAAATTTACCAATTTTTATTACATCGGGAAATTGAGTGGAGTTTATTCCTCTTTATCAAGAAAATATGCCAATTCAGTTTTCATAAGGATTTTTTTATATCGCATCCAAAGTTCATAACAATTGAATATTATTAACATTATATTATTTAAATTTTTAAATTATAATTTGTTTCATAATTTCATTTTTATTAATGCTAAATCAAACAATTTGTACTCAGCTACTGCGGAACTGTGAGGCACACTAAAAATGTTATGAACTAAATCACCCAATTCTCCAAAGGCTGATTTACCCAATCCATTTTTAATCAAACTTACTTGATCCCAAAAATGTTCTATGCACATTGGTACCGTTTTTGAAGTTACCTTCACTCAGCCTCAATTTGCATAATTGAAATTCAATTATGTCTGCATCATTTACCAATGCAGGAAATCGGTCGAGTAGCGGCAAAATTGATACATCAGTATCATGTGGTGTAATAATTTCAAGATGTTTAATATCTTATCGATTGAAATCGAATATTATTTTGATGTGCTAAATGCTCTGATTAAAGTTTCGCTACCTCTCCATATTTTTGCCAGCCACTTTAATATTGGTCACCGAGTAATTGAAATTAGCAAGAAACCGCGATATATTTTGAAGCGAGCTTTGGCAGATGATTGCCACGCCATATTTAAAGAACAGTGGCAAGGCGAGTTCACACTTTTAGCAGGTGTTGCCAATCGGCCCTATGCTGAATATCGTCATCGTCATCGTCGACCATTGTCAGCGCAACAGCAAAATGGCTGACGATGGCCGTACCGTCACTTTTACTGACGGGGACGATATTCAACATAGGTATAGAAAAAATTGAAAACACGAAACTATTGCATGAAGTGAAAGGGTGATAATAACCTAACCAAAGGCTTGTGAAATGGAATATTTTAAAAAGAATTGGACCAATGGACCAAACGAAAAGAAATGGACCAAATTTGGTCCATTTGGACCAAACCCGGAACTGTGACCCCAATACAAGTACAATATATGTATACAATAAAGTACATAAGTACATACATATTAACAGACACCTTTTTTATTGTATGTATGTATGTACATATATGTGTAAGATGCCCTGCAGTAAAATTTAGAGCCGGTCTGTTAAAGCGCTAGTTCCGCTCTATACATTTCAGAACTATCTCCGAACGAAAGCATTGCGTTGGGATAGATCTAGATCCAGTACCGCCTCTTAATGCGCTAGTTCTGAACTAGCGCAATTTCCTGCAGGGATGATTACAGTATCGCAGAGTTAGTGTACAAACAATATCTAAGGATCAATACATTGCAAGCAAATGTTTAAATGCTCTATATTAAAATTCATGTTTATTTGTTTGCTGTCATTCCGTTTTTTGTTATTCCCGGCATTTTGCTATGCTTTAGATAATATTGACTTTGCACAGGTTTATATTTTTATTTTCCTTTACAATTAGCCGGTTGGTTGTTCAAGTCAAGTAGTCTGTTGCCGCGATTAATCGAGGCTTTTGTTGTTTGTGCTCAACAACATTTATTTTGACGCTCAAATTTCACTTTCGAATGTTGGAAATCGCTCTCAAATTTGTATGTACCGAAAAATTTCTCTTAGCGAATACGTGAAACGAAGAGAGTCGAAAGTACATATATATAAATATTTTCCTAGCTTTTAAGATGAGAGTGCCGTGCATGTCGGTCAGCAGATGCACAGGAAAATGCCGCTAAGAGCACTTTGGGTGATGACGCTGGGCGGCAGGAGGCCGCAACTACCTGTGCGAACAGTGAACTAACTCGAAAATTTTAAATTCAAAAGTGTTTGTACATATGAGGTTCCGTTTCGTGTATGTATATACGCAAGTATATACATACATAATATGAACAGTGTGACCGCGGGCTTGTGAAAAATTGTAGCAGAAAAGAGACTTAAAATGTATCAATGTGTATCACTTTTTTTCATTTAAGTATCAAAGCATTAATATGGAATAAAACCAATCATTTTTATGAAAAACCATTTTCCAAAACAATTTAACATTTATTGCACGAGCAAGTTGAAATTATTTCCCGAGTGCGATTTTCGCAATTTCAGCTGCAGTTACACCTTGCAATTTTTATTGCCTACCAACTGTTGTGTGTGGGCACTTTGATGTCTAGATATGTATAAGCATTTGCCGCATGATGCCGCCAGACAACATTCGCTCAATTTCGGTGTTAAAAAACATTTAAATCTTAAACAACCTTACTGAATAACTTCCTAAAACGTTGTCATAAGTAATCCAATAGGGAACAGATTCTTATTTTGATTTAATATTAATATTTCATCCATATAACCACCAGCATGCTTTCTATCAAGTGAAAATATGCAAGCAATAACTTTTGGATGTACGTTGCCACAGGTGCACGACATGTTTTGTAATGCATACAAATTTACAGATTTTTTTTTTTGTATTTGGAAAAGTATCAAAATTTGAAAAAAAGTATCTCTCTAAAATTCATCGAAAAATGTATCAGTTTTAATCCACTTGGACAAAACGGTCACACTGAATATGAATATACGGTTTAATGATGCTGCTGTGTTGATTAAAGAGGGGTGTCCACAGCAAGCGGGCGGGTTCGGGCGACGAGCGAGCAATTTTGAAACCAGAAAGTTATGTAAACAAAATACATATTACAACTCCGAAATTTCGGTGCTCTTTCATACGTACGTATCAAAATGCGTAAAAAATTCCGTATACATACATATAAAAACCGACCTCAATTTCGCCAGCAACTGCGACGCTAGCAAATGTAGTTTGGAAAAAAGGGAAAACCTGCGTAATAGAAAACAATATACAATTTTAGACACTCATAGTTGCATATGTATGCATGATTATGTATACCTATACTAAATATGTTTGTATGCATGTACTCATAATGCGTAGCAAAGAAAACAAAATAAAAGTGACTCTCAAGTAAAGGAGGTGATAAACAAACGACATAAGAAGTTAAATGTTGTAACACAAAGATAAGCAACAAGAGGAGAGCGTGAAAACGACCAACTCAGCTCATTGAGCTGTGCAAATGAGGGAATAAAAACAAACTAGCGAAAATATCTATACATATCCATACGTACATACATAACAGATTCTCAACGATGCAGTAACTGCGCTTTTACTTTTACGATCGCATATGTACTTTGTACGCCAGCTTCGGCACTGCCGGCGTTTTCCAATTCCGAACACCCCGATAGCGAACTCCACCGTTGTTGATGGTGGCAGTTTTAGCTACCCATCTCAAGAAAAAATATTTTCCTGTTGGTGGTGGTGGTTTTGATGTTGGTATTGGTGGCGGTGGCGGTTATTGGATTAGTATTATTGCCGGAGCGCGCCGGTCCGTACCGTATCAGCATGAAACGAAACAACCGACAACAACGAAACAAGCGAACAGCAACCAGCTATCCGATACCGATTCCGGTAGATACCGACCCAGAAATCAACGGCTGTTAGCGAGTCACCAGCTGGTAGTTGACTTTTGTGTAGTCGTAGAATCATTCTTGAATGCGCGCGCGAATAGTCAACACGCTAAAGTCGCAACATCGCAAACTTGAAACGCAGCAAAATTTAAATTAAATAAAACAATAAAGTGATTTTTTGTTTAGTATACGGCCGGAGCGAGCAGACGTTCTCAGCACTCCCATGCCTATACATAAGTGGTGCATATAGTATAAAAATATCGTGTATTACCCCAAAGTGGGTGAGCGTATTTAGTAAAGTGTTTGTGAGAAGTATGAGTGTTAGTGCTTTTGTAGGCTTTGTATTTTTGCAAAGAACAAAGTTTCACCACATACATACATATACAAACATACTCTCACACTTGAACCGCTGACAGACCTGCTAGCTAGTTGGCTGGCTGGTTATTTGGTGCTGGCGAACAGACACTTGTGGTAGTAGCATTTTGGTCGTACGCGAGTAAGGCCAGATATGTAAACAAGGCGGGTTAATTGAATAAATCCAAAAGAAAAACGGGGAAAAAACCTAATTAAAATGCTGTGGCGTAGCATTTTAAAATACATATAAATAAAATCAAATACGAGAAAACATAACAAAATAAATTTTGTTCTTTTCAAAAATAATAAAACGCGCGGCGCGGTAACACATCTAGCAGAAAGACAAACATTTGCATGACTCCGTGGAAAGCCACCATTTATGAAAAACCAGCAAGGCATCATTGTCAGTTGCGAAGTGACTGATGCTGCAAGTGGAGCAAAAAAAAATAGACCAATTGATAAAATAAGTGCAAATTGCAAGGACCTAATTTTATTACAAATATATCTGTATGTATGCATGTGTGCATGTAAATACGATAATAAAACTAAACTAAAAGATAGCCAAAATACTCACACTTAAAACGTTTAAAAGAAACTTAGTTCGAAAAAGCGAGACAATCCTTGATAATCAGTGCAAGTTTGCAAAATGTTTTACACTCCCATAATTAAAGAAGTAAACTTTGCAAAAAATATGAATGTTCATATAAAACTTTTATGAAAAGAAGAAATAACAGGTATAGGGAAAATAATAATTTATTTCAGTAAACCGACGGAAATACTTAGAAACAACACTAAACAAGTAAATAAATATTGAATAAGTAGGCAAATAAATATAACAAAATATATAACAAAACCAAAATAAAACTAAAAAATATGTGAAAAATAAATACATGAAATCGAATCAAATTAGAACATAATACCTAATAAGAGGTAGAACTTCGATATAATGCATTCCTAATCAAGTGAAAACGGTGTATGGGGAGGGTTGAAGGGCGGCATGCACATACTAAAAGTGAAAACTCCACCTTCCGGAGGTTTATGGTTTAAGAGTAGCAAAATTCATCAACTATTGCGCCCATTTTAGGTAATTATTAAGAATGCACGAATTGCCACCGTAGATACACAGTGGAGAGCAGAAATAAGGGGTGCGTTCGAGCTACGTAATAATTACCACAATATTGCAGCCTTGTTGCTTTCCTGATGACTTATTGCTGATGCTCGGCTGAAAATTTTCTAAAATGCTGCAGAAATTGCGCAGTAAAAATTTGTATGTTGCTTTTGATTTGCCAATGATGAGTAATTGATTGTCAAAATTTTGTTCCTCGAACGTTTGATGTAGGCAGAGTCGCCCAAATTTTCGCGTAGAACGTGATACCCTTTCATAAAAAGTAACACCGCAGCATTTATTGCAGCTCGAATATACCCAAGTAAGTACACAGGGGTTTTTCTTAAATATTTGCAAGATTCTTAAAGTTGAAATTTGTGGTTATTTTTTCATAAAAATATGGTTCATGCTGTAACTAAAACCATATAAATCAAACTCTTTATACGGAGCTTAGAAAAATTTAACAAATTTTCATTAAAATTGAATTTTTTTAAAACTTTTTTGTTTGAGTACGCAGTTTGGTAGCCCATTAAATTTTTGTATAATAAAGTGCAAGTTTTAAGCAGCTAATCGCGTTAATTTTTAATATTTTTTTGCTGACGCCTTTTTGCAATTTTTTCCTTATAAGCACAAATTTCTTATAAAAGAAAACGCGCAGGACCGTTTGCAAAGAAAGCTAAAAAAAATATACCCCAGTTTTTATAAATTGCACAGTGCAAAAAATATGAAAAATCAACGCGATTTTGCAGCCGCTTGAAACTTGTAATTTATTATACTAAAATTTAATGGGCTACTAAACTGCATACTCAAAACAAGAAATTCTAAAAAATCAGTTCAGAAAATTAAAAAATTTTTCTAAGCAGTGCATAAGGTTTGAACGTTTGATTTGTTTTGGTTTTGGTTAAACCATGAACCATATATTGATGAAAAAATAACAAAAAAACATTTTAACTTTAAGAATCTTGCAAATATTTAACAAAAATCCCCGTATACTCATTTCTGCTCCCTACTGTACATATAAGCCGAAAAATCTTAACAACAAATATCTAAAAAATCATTACTTATTGGTTTAATGAAGTGATACATTCAGTTAGAGAAAACCCCCCCGGCATCACCTTCAAGTTTCATTAAAAAGCAAGTAGTGCATTATATCAAAGTCAACGCAAAATTACTACTAGTTTTGTGTGTAATTTTGGCTATTAGAATAAAACACTGTAGAGGTATAACACTAATTAAATGTTATAATAAGTAGTTTTTTATAACCTATTAGAGCTTGAAAAAAATGGTAAATAATAAAGAAGATGACTTCAGTTGATATATCTTTTTAATTGTTATTCCTTAACAAAATATATGACATTCGTAACATCGCCATTACATTCACATGTGTGTACATATCGAGCCCTAATCGCCAAAAAGTCGTAAGCGCCATTTTTTTCAAAATTTTCTTTTTGATGCAGAAATGTTCCAAGAGCCTCTAAATGCATTTCTGCATCAAAAATAAAATTTCGAAAAAAATTTCGCCTACGTCTCTTTGGCGGTTAGGGCTCGATATGTACACACATGTGAATGTAATGGCGATGTTACGAATGCCATATATTTTGTTAAGGAATAACAATTAAAAAGATATATCAACTGAAGTCATCTTCTTTATTATTTACCATTTTTTTCAAGCTCTAATAGGTTATAAAAAACTACTTATTATAACATTTAATTAGTGTTATACCTCTACAGTGTACAAAGGAGGCGTATTATATTCCAGACACATCTTGCCGCCTTTTCGTCTACAAACAGGGTATCGGTTTTCATTAAGATAGGCGTTCAACTTGGCTTTGATTTCGCATTTTTTAATGCCTCGAAATTTTACACCGGAGCCTTCGTTTTCGTTCGAGGAATATATTGCTTTTAGGACTTTAAAGCCGTCGAAAACTATCCAGAGTGCTGCTATGTTTTTTCGTTTTAATACACTAGTCGAGTCGAAATTTAAGGCAATGCCGTGCAATTTTCCATACGACTAGACTCTCGGAAAACGACTTGCATTCGACACGACACTCGCAATGAGGCTGATTGCTTGTTATACTAACTATTCAATCTGTAAGCTAAACGCTTAATATTGTCAAAACATCCTAGTTAGGCAGAACAGCCACTTCAACAATATCATGTATACATTCGACTTCACAAAACATTCGCATTATTTGATGCGAATGCGAATGTCGATACCAATGTTAAAAATGATAGGTACTAATCATTCGCATAAGCGAATTCGAATGCAAATATTCGTAATGTCCCTGGTGTGTACATATATTAAAAAAGTAAGTGTTGTGGCCGCTTTTTTACCATATTACTTTCAAAAAAGTCTATTTAAACGTCATTATTAATTTCGAATTTGTATAATCTCAAAATTATTGATTATACAAATTAAGAGAGATACAATTTGTATAATCAAAGAACGTAAATCTACGTTCTTTGGTATAATAACAGTTTTGTATGGCTTTCACATTTCATTTTCTGTAAATTATTTTTAAAGAATTATGGCCTTATTCATAAAAAATAAAGTAAGTTTAAAAAGCTTTATAAATTGACGTTTTCATACATTTTTTAATTTATAAACCTTTTGTAAAGCCACTTTGTTTTTTTATGAATAAGGCTATTTGACTTTTTATTAGGTTTGCAATGCCAAAACGCTTGTCTTTCAATCCACGAGTTGTGTTTACTTTAAACTGGCTCCTGAAATCTATTGTCGCTAAATACATATCGCTCATTTACTTCAAGGGTGTCACAATCCAAAAAATTAAAATATTGAGGTAAGTATGCAGAAATTACCGCACCCCTTCTTCTATGTTGTGTAAAAATTTCTAATATGTCGATTACTAAAACAGAATATGTACTCATTTTCACTATGGGAGTAAATGTAAATTCAAAACTTTAAAGTCATTATATTCGAGAGTGGTTTTTTGAGCCATAACACTATTGAAGTAAATGAGCGATATGCATATATGTATAGCACTTTTCATAACTATACGATACCCACATATTGACAAGTTTCGACTATTTGTTCGCTTTATTATTATACCCGAGCGCACTTGTGCACAAGGGTATTATAACTTTGTTCACATAACGGTTGTTTGTAACAGGCAAAACGAATCGAGATAGATATAGACAAATGTATACATAAATGATCAGAATGAAAAGAGAAATCGATTAAGCGG